TCCATCCTCTGAAATTAATTCAGTTTCAAAGTTGCAGCCATGGGAAACTGCCATGCTTGTGGGGGTTACCTTCAGTTTCCAAGTTGTTTGGTCATAGTCAATTGTGCTTCAATCTGTGAAGTACTGAGAGCTGGGAAAAGGCAAAACTTAACTGAAAAGGCTACACATCCATTCCTGTTTCCTTAATTCCAGAGCTCACGAAGAACGTATTTTCTTTCTGGATTTCCACCCTCACTGTCAAGAACAGCAAGAGCATCTAATTCCATCTCTTTACAACTGCCAACGGTTTCACTCGCCAGCTCTTTGCCCTTAGCATACTTCAGCTCTCACAGCCATCAGTTACTTCACTGGAAAAAAAATACTAAGCCCATTCCCCTTCCTGTATGCTATTATTAAAAGCATGATCTCAAGTTTATTGATCTAAAATAATTTACCATGTTTGTTAGAAAGCAAACGCTCTTCATTCACAGTGCTCAAATTCAAACCACCTACCAAGCACAGATGCATGTTTATATGGATGCATATAAAGCAGGAAGGAAGAATGTACCCAAAATCATGCTAAAAGCAGAGACGAGAATAAAGCCCAGTCTTTTGTCTCAGCTAGGCCAAACTGGTTCCACATGCAAGCAATGAAACAAGCTGTCCTCTTCCCCCTTTCTACCTGTATTTAGTCCATATTTAAAACCTTAGCATATTGTAAAAGCATGTACCAATGCCATCAGGTAAGGAAGAAAAAAACCACAAGTTTACTTTCACCTTTTTTTTTTTTTTTTAAATAGTCTAAGCGCTAGTAAAGTCCTAAGTATTTAGAAATCATACAGATTACAAGGACATTAACTTCCACGAAGCCTTTTCCTGACAGGGCAAGGAACTCTGTGCTGTAACTGCACCAGTATCTTACCTTATTATTGTTAAGTTCCATCTTCAGTTTCTCCTGACCAGACCCTGGCACCAGCAAAAGTTTATGTGTTCTTTCCCAAGTCACGCATGATCTGAAAGGGAGATTCCAGAGTTCATTTGAGATCCTTTTTCCATAAAACCCTGTCACGAAGCAACCTGCAATCTTTCAACTTCTCAGTACCGGGGGGCGGGGGGGAACCCACTGACTTCTGTGTGCCACCCTAGCGCTATTTTTCCTAAAATAAAAGTCAGAAATTGAAATTAGTTTTGAGCTTCAATACAGCACATCCACTGTTTTTCATATCTGCAGAATACACAGATTTATACTCAAGATATTACAAGTGCACAGGAACTCAGCTTCAAGCCACAAACCAACTGCCAACCAAAGGCAAAGAGGAAGTTGCTCTCAAATTAGCTGTTCCATAATTACCTGTTGCAAGGATAAATGTGCCTTCTTCACAAGTTCGGGACGAGAGGCCAGTAAGGGTGACAGCGTGGTGGGAGTGTGTTACAGACCTCCCAACCAGGGTAAGAAAGTGGATGAACACTTCTCCCCTCTTCAAGCAACTCCAGGAAATCTCTGTATCAGACTCTGGTCCTCATGGTTGACTTGAACCTCCCTGACATCTGCTGGAAGGGCAACACGACAAGACACAAGCAGGCAAGATTTCCATGGGGTGTCAGGAACAGCTTCTTGATACAGGTATTGGATGGGCCAGCCAGGGGTGACACACAGCTGCATCTGCTGCTCAGGTGTGGTAACAAAGGAACAAAGGAAGAGCTCACTGGGGACATGGTAATCAACCTGGCCATAGTGGCAATGAAACAGTGGAGTTGAAGATCCTGAGGGGAGTGACGAAAGAGTAGCAGATCCTGGACTTCAGCTTACGTAGGGAACAACTACATGGGATCCCATGGAAGGCAGCTCTGATGGGTAAAGGAGCTCAGGAAAGCTGGCAGGTCTTTCACAAGAGCATCCTCCAAGCACAATCCTCCCATCCTCATACTCGGGAAGACAAGCAGGCATACTAGGAGATCAGTTTGGCTGAACTGGGAACCCATGATGGAGCTCCAACATAAAAAGGCAGCATATAGAAGGTGGAAACAGGGACAAGCTACAAAGGAGGAATTTAGAAACTTTCCCCAGGTGTATAGGTGTGAGGAAAGCCAGAGCTCAGCTGCAGCTGAGACTTGTCAAGGACATCAAGGGCAACCAGAACTTCTGCAGTTACACTGGTAGTAAAAAGCTGAACACAAGAAATGTGGGCCTGTTGCTGAGTGGAGTGGGTCACATCCTAATAGCTCTGCTTGTCTTTACCAAAAAGATCTCACAGGCCTTTGAAATATGTAAAAGGGTTCAAGAGGAGAGCTGCCAGCAGTGGATGAGGATTAAGCTAGGGATTACTCAAAAGAGCCAGACCCCTACAAGTCCATGAGACCTGACAGGCTACATCTGAGGGTGCCGAGAGAGCTGGCCGATGTCCTTGCAAGGTGGAGGTCTCTGATGACTGGAAGAAAGCAAATGTTGCACCCATCTTCAAAGAGGCCAAAAGAACAATCCAGGGAACTGCAGGTTCAGCCATCCTTACCTCTGTCCCTGGGGAAATCATGGGGTGAGTTATCCTGGAGTATGTTTCTGGGCATGTGAAAGAGAAGAAGGGATTTGGAGACAGCATGAATTTACCAAGGGTAAATCATGCCTGACCAACCCGACTGCCTTCTGTGGTAAAATGACTGGATTTTTGTGTGAGGGGAGAATAGCGGATGTCATATACCCCAAATTTAGTAAGTCTTTTCACACTGTCTCCTGCATTATTCTTGTATCCAAATCAGGACTTTACAGTCTGGATAGGTGCACAACTAGATCAATAAAAACTGGTTGGATAATTGGGCTCAGAGGGTAGTAGTTAGTGGGTCACACTCTACCTGCATGGCAGTTACAAGTGGAACACTGTGTAAGGGTCTGTCCTGGGATGTGTCCAGTTTAACATCTTTATGAGTGGTCTGGAGGAGGGGAGGAGGTGCATCCCTGCCACATGTGCATATGGCACCAAACTGGGGAAAACAGTCAACACATTCGAGGGCAGGGCTGCCATTTAGAGGGACTTGGGCGAGCTGGAGGAAAGGGCTGACAGCAACCTTATGAAATTCCACAAGGGCAAGTGCAAGTTTTGCACAAGGGAAGGAAGAGCCCCTGGCAACCACACAGGCCAGGGACTAACTGTTTGGCAAAAGACCACCTTTCTGACCTCATGGCTGACCCTCTTTTAAACAGGGGAATGGACCAGATACCTTCCGAGTTCCCTTTCAAACCGAATTATCCTGACCTGACAACGTAATAACAATGAGTGTAATACACAGATTTGGGGAGGGTCACCAAATCTATGTCGGAGTGATTCCTTTGTGCCACAGCTTCAGTCTGGAAGAATTACAACTTTTCTGCTGGGGGGAGAGAGGCAGCAGCCCAATCAGGGAGCAGGGAACTCTCCAGTCCTACCCCCAGTGTTTCCTTCCATTCATGAAACCGTTTCTCAGGCACGAAGAGCAAGGATTTGTCTACACTGGGAAGCGGTTACACAGCAAGCTAGTTACTGTAGGCAGAGAACCGAAACAAAAACCAAGGTCTACACCTACAAAGGAGAATTATACTTTAATTTTTTTTCCCCTGAAGAAGACACACTATATTAAAAACCTACTGACATCAAAGCAGCTGAAAAGGACACCGGCCTTGCAAGCAACAACTCCACTCAGCTTCGTACTCCAGCGGCCATGCTCACACGAACACCAACCGCCCCCCTCCCCGGACGAGGCTGCAATACCTTCTCGCCGGTAAAACAGCCATTTCCTCAGAGAAACCCGTGCGCGCTTCGCTCCGCGGGGACGGGTCTCCAGGGGAGAGCTGGCGGTAACGCGGGACGGCAGGGCCTCAACCGGTCCAACC